GCGAGGCAAGGGATCACTGACGTCATACCACAGGTAACCCGCATTTTGAGCGCGCGCCGATAACAGTACTACCGTAAATCAAGAAAAGCGTGCGCATTCTTCGTTCTTTTCCTTCTCTGAAGCAATAGTTGGGCGGCCTATGGTTGTGTTACTCTTCTGATTGCTTATGAGGAACTGACACTACCCTGATAGCTCAGTAACTGGAAGACCCCCTGAATGTTTTCCCTGATTTTTTTCTTTTTTAAATTTGTGTTACCAGGTCAGTCGTATAAAGGGTGAATAGCAATATCCACTGGGTGAATCCATATCTGCAGCAGATAAAATCCCATACAAAATCTAGTGGATAACTTTATCCACCTTTCATACAACTGCCTCCTTGTGTACGTGCATCTCAATAATAGCCGATTTGTATTATAGCGTCATTAACTACAACTCAGAATGCTTTGCCAAATTTCTTTTGTAATGCAATTACTGTAGTGCCAATTGTTTTATTAATATCCAAGGCGATTAAAAATCTGAATAACAATGAAAATGCTAAAGGCTCTCTAGTAGTTGTAGTATTAAGTTACGCCATCATGCAAATGGCCCTGATTGTATAATTATTATTTTAAATAACTTGCAACAAACGCATTGTAACTGAGCAAGGCCATCACTTTGAAATGGGAAAAGCATTTAACTCACCTGAGTAGGGCCTGGTACAGCAGACATTTGAACCTGGCCTGGTACCATAGCAGGTACTGCCACAGGAACCCCATTTGCACCTAGTGTCATGATGTATGCTTGTGGGCCTTGTTCAGTCTGAAGATAGATTACTTGGCCCTGTAATTTATTAAATTAAAAGTTTTACTTGTATCAAAACAATAATCCTTTTGTTCTTTAACTTTTCTACTGTACGTCCTACAAATGTGAATCATATATATTTCCTTGTTGGAATGCAGGTTTGAAACAATATACCATTTGTGTAGGCTGTTGCATTGTGGGATTTTTACAGCAGTCACAGTTTCTACTGTTACAGTTGCAAGCACAAAGAGAAGCCCAGATACCAACACAGAGCTCAAAAATGGCAAAGATGATGACCAGTGAACCCATAGCAACACTTGTCTTGCATTCCTTTTCTACTGATTTCTCATGATAACCACGTCGGCTGGTAACATATTCTTTTGCATAACTGCAAGAAGAGCCTCCTGTTATAAATCGTACCACACCAATGGTATATATAACGATGATTACTGCAGCAAATGCAGTAGAGACAACGCTAAAACTAAAGTAGATCCAAAGCTAGAAGAGAATACAGAGTGACTATATGACATACATGCATCTCTTGGTGGTCAATAATATAATTATAATTCCTTAAAATTTTGTTTTATTTTTAAAGATTGAATTAAATTGATGACAGCTAAATTATTTGAACTGCGAACTAAGGCCTGGGTCAAGTATTAACTTAATTTATGCCATATAACAAATTCATCAAGATCCTAATTGGATCACGTGGTGAGAAAACTTATCAATGCCAACGCGCTTGTACGCATTAATTTTCTATAGAATCTGATGAGATGGCTGCATCAAGAGATACGTTAGCCAAGGTGGTGTTCTCTATAAACAGCTGAATCCACTTAAGTTTTGCCAAAACAAATACATCATTGATGTYAATTTGATCTATTGTGAGACATATAAGTATGCAAGCACATCATCTAGAAGTGACCGTACATGATTGACAGACAATTGCATATAAATATTATGTATAGTGTGTGCTTAATTCATTATTAATTTCCCTGATTTCATTAATAATACATTTATCAAAATAAGATTGAATTAATTACATATGGGCTTGTAGCTCTTCCATTCCTAGCATTGTTGCGCTTAATACTTCCATGTACTCGGCCAATCACTCCAGTGATTATCAACTAAAGGAAATTAGAAAAATATTATAATACCTGACCATTTTATCAGACAGATAACCAAAAGCTATTACTTGGCAGTTGTTTTGAGTTTCATATATCAAAAAGAGATTTTTTCAAGATCAACATTCATATTTGATTCTAAATACAGTGACGATGATGACGTCATAATACTTATCAGGATATTGATTTACCTTTTTGGGGTGCGAAATATTATTATTTTGGCTGCATTTCTTGTTGAAATAAAATCGATATAAATTCAAAATTCGTTTCGTCGCTAATTCCCGTCATTGAAAATCGATAAAATAGTCAAATCTCTCACCAAAGCACCCATCAATATCGCCACACCATATTTCGAGTGAAAAGCGAATTTGTTGTACATCACAGCACGATCAGCGATACCAAACACAACGCTCAAAATTCCCAAAGTGATATGAGCGCAGGCAGAATGAAGAATGTACTTCCATGATGGAATTAGACCAAGAAATGCCGAAAGTAACTTAAACTCTCAAAAGTTCGATAAACACTTGACAACAGCGAGCAAGTCGTTTCAAGTCCACTCGAACAGATTACATCACAGCGGCTAGTCAGTCGGTCAAGCAAAACCATAAATGGATTTGTTTTTGGCGCTCGTGGAAACAAAAGTAGCAAATTTAAGATATACAATTTTCTCTACTTTTAAACCACCGCGCACTTTTGACTTTCTTTTTCTTTTATTTAACCTTTCATAATCCCGCCAATCAGGAACAGTGTACGAAATACCCTTTTAACCAATCCGGTATCGTTTTATATCTGGATGGTTCCTTGGAATCAGAATCACAAACTATCACATGATTTGACCATGAGCTAGTGGATATTTTGTAAATTTGACATCGACAGCCAGCGACAATGGTACAAAAGACTGTTTCATTGTTTAGATATATGCTTGACATTAGCATCGCTGTTTAAAAGAGATATCGAATCAAATTATGGAWTTTTTTTGCAGGGTTCCGAAGGGGAAAGAAAGGAGTATCTGTTCAAAGTTCTGGTAATTGGTGATCTTGGTGTAGGGAAGACAAGTATTATCAAACGATATGTGCATCAGTTCTTTTCTGTTCATTATAGAGCAACTGTATCCTTGATTTTTACAGATATCCTTGAACATGACACGATCATTCAACTGGGATAGGAGGGAATATAATATACAATTCCTAAATAGTGCACAGCAAACTTCATTGTGCTTCCTGCATTAGCCCAAATTGCATTTGCATTGTTGTAGATATATAATCTGATATATCACAATACAAGTTATTAGTTGTTAGCTAAGTTAGGTAAAGCATGAAACACAAGCTTCTAGATTTTTGTGGTCAAACGATGTATATAAAGAATTCTATGCGTCACGTTTGATTGATAAATTAAGAGGCTTACAACTGCATATCGTAGTTTTGTTCCTGATATATATATTGACGTCATAGCGGACTTTATGTTCTTGGAAATTGCGAACAAAATATCACTCTCTACATTATTACCACTGCATGACAATGAATGAAACTGCCACAGTTACTATAATATTTTATAACTTATTATTCAATAAGTTTGTCTTTCAACAGACACCCACAACAAACCACTTAAGTTCTTAATAAACTCTTATTGTGCTTATTTAGGGTTGTTCAAACATATTCTGCTATATTCAATAATAAAGAAAATGTTGAACTTTGAAATATCAGTGACCAGAAACCGCCCATATATTGATATAATCATGCATTATAAACATATCAATATATACCTGAGCTAATATTTAAAAACATTCAATTTATCATCATCAAACTTCAATATGATTGCTTTCTTGATTTTCAAACTAATGTAGCTAGAAAACATTCTCATACCCAGATCCTTCTCAGTTTTCTAATGGAAAATTGAAGGCTCTGGCTGGGCCGCGTGATATGCATGGTAATCTTTGGACCAATCAAATCAAAGAATCCTTCATTTCTAACCAGAGCCTTCGATTTCCCATTGGGAAAACTGAGAAGGATCTGGGTACGAGAATGGCTAGAAAAAAAGAAAAAAAYCCCATGCAAGTTACCCATGATTAGACTGATTCCATGAGTCGTAGTAGTATTCGCTCCTTGATTTTTCGGTTTGTCGCTCAAACTAGCGGGGGCTAAAAAAAAAGCGATTTGACAGACTGATGGAATCAGTCTAACCCATGATGCACTGGGTATCAAGGGTTAAGTATTAAAATCACCTGCAATTAGCATTCAAATGTTTTTCATATCACTCTATTTAATATGTATCATTTAGTTAACTAAAACACCATTCTTTACAAATACCTTAATCAAATGGATGTGTAGATTGGAGTTGATTTTGCACTCAAAGTCATCAACTGGGATCAAGACACTCTCATAAGGCTACAGCTTTGGGATATTGCTGGTGAGACTTAAGATTGAAATTCATTTTTATAGTGATTTTATCTGGAGTAAAACTGTCTTGTTTTTGTTTCAGGTCAAGAAAGATTTGGTAACATGACAAGGGTAATAATTGCATGAAATGTTATACAGAGGATATTACATGGTGGGATCTAGAAAATGGATAGTCCCCTCTTGCAGCTGTTGTTTTGTTTGTTCCCATGTCTCTCCACACTAACATTTGGTTTGTTAGCATCTCTCACACTGTTAAAGGGGACAGACATGGGAACAAGCAAAATAAAATCAAGCCGCCAATGGTGACACAACTCGAAGATTGTCAGACAATAAATCTGGACATAAGTCTGTATTCTATGTAAAGCCGGTTACGAAGGATAAAGTTTATATGAATCGATGAGCATTAAATCACTAATAGACGTGGATCGGAATAATCCTTTAAATTCACACGATATCTCCTAAAACGACTTCTGAAATCAACAGATTCTTATACAAGAACTTCCAGACCTCAAAAATCACATTTTGTGTGTTTAAAAAGCCATTTCTGTATCAAAACACCTGGCCATCTTGGTTACGGATTTCTAAATGCCCGTATGTTTACAGAAAAAAAAATTTGTGACTAATTAACTAGTCCCCCTCACACATCATCTCCCTCATCTCCCTCCTATAACTCTTCGATTGCTTCGCAATCTTCGAGTTAAAAAGGATAGTAAGACTTGATCCTCTCCTATTGTTCAAGGTGTATTACAAAGAGGCAGTGGGTGCATTCATTGTTTTTGATGTAACAAGAGCATCAACTTTTGAAGCTGTGCAGAAATGGAAAAATGATCTGGAYAGCAAGGTTATGCTACCCACAGGAGAACCAGTCCCAGCAGTTTTACTAGCCAATAAGGTATTTTAATTTATAAAAATAATGATGATGATGATCATAATGATGATAATAATAACACTTATAAAACTCATTAATATTCATAAGGCAAAACACAATAGAAATCATAGCCCATGAAGAGAGTTGTATATTACATACAGATTTCTTGTTCATTTGCATAAACTTTTACTCTGATTTTCTGAGTCAGATTGAATTTTTTTTCAAAAGTTTCTTTAAAACCTGAGCTAATTTACCTTAACGTTTCATAAGTAATATACAATATTCGCGTGCGATCTGTATGAGGTTTAAAACAGCTCGCTTTCAGCTCGCTGTTTTAAATCCTCATACAGATCGCCCGCTCATATTGTATATATTACATAATAAATATAATAATAATAATTTATGAATAATTTAAATATTTATTTTCTCTAATGTCTAATTGATGTTTTTTTTTATAAAGTTTTCACATTGTTTATTGTTTTGTTTTTGCAGTGTGATCAAACAAAGGAGGGATTAGTAAACAACTCCAAGCAAATGGATGAATACTGTCAAGATAAAGGCTTTATAGGATGGTTTGAAACTTCTGCAAAAGAGGATATMAATGTGGCAGATGCTGCAAACTTCCTTGTTTCAAAGGTAAAACTTATGTCTAGAAAAATGTACCTAGAGATGGAAAATCAAAATAGAAGGTTGGAAAGTGTGCCTGTAGAGGAGGCTGGCTACTTCTGCCATAAAGTTATAATTCAGATTCTCACCCTTCTGATTCTTAAAGTTATAGCAAAATCAGGCAGGGTAATGCTGTAGTCTTGTTTTGCTGGGTTTTGTGGCCTCCTGAAATGTTGTAATCTGATGTTGCTGTTTTCTTGAAATATAGTGATTGTATACACCCTTTTAATAAGTCCCAAGGTATTGTGTTCTCCGCACTTGACGTCAAATTTATTCTTTTGAATTCCTTTTGTATTGTCAAAATTTCAAAAGAATAAATTTGACGTCAAGTGCAGAGAAATCAATACCTGGGGACTTATTAAAAGGGTGTATACGTATATGATTGGAAATAATATTTTTTATGCTGTTATTGTATTTTGTTTTTAATAGATTTTAGAAAATGAGAAAACCCATAACTTTGAAGGAATTCCAAAAGACCCAGAAGCCATAACACTTACTGATTTAAATAAAYCAGGGTCTAGTCCATCAAACAGCTCACCAGCAAGGCATGGATCTGCTGAACCTCAGAGAAGTGGCTGCTGTTGAGACAGGATTACGTTAGGATACAATTTGGAATTTAGCACCAAGTCCGSCTAGTATATTTCAGCACTAAATCCTATCATCTAGATGACAAAGTTGTGTATTGCAGCTACCAATGAGAAATTTAACGAATGGATTCCATTTTTCCATACGGTTTTGCTCTAAAAGCTGGTGATTTTTGCAGTGATTCTGATTCCAATTCTTTAATTTTATTCACTAGAATACAAAAAAGACCACAAAAAGCTTAAAACTTGTAGTGTCATCCAACTCACAGAGATGAAAACATCTGTTCACATATAAGACAAAATCTAATGTAACATTATATGATTGATAATCACCTGATAAAATATCTGCAAATATCGACAGTGTGAGCCAGCCTCAGTAGAACACTTTTGATGTCAAAATGTGATTTATAGAACAAATGGAAAATGGAATCTATTTGTTTTATATTGTATTTTTCTGTAACTTTTTCCAAATTTGCACAAATTTCATTCCTACAGCGTGTCAAATAATTTCTTAATGTAATGTTGAGACTGTGCCAGCTACTAAAGTCATGTATATATATCACAAATAGCCTGGTACATCCATTCCCACCYCTCCCCACTATGAGAAAAATTTCCTCACAAACTTTTTCCCGCAGGGGTAGGGGTGGGAATGGATGAACGCAGGCTATATCACAAGTTATTTTTTTAGGAAATAGTGTTTAATCATGGTAAATTGCATAGGTTTTTATGTGTATAACTTGCTTCTCATGGTCCTGTATTCAAACCTGGATATTCAGCCTAGATTATCAGTTTTAATGTTCACTCACGGTTTTCAGTGTAAAATAATGAACAGTTTTACAAATAAAGCATTGAAATATTTTATTATACTATTTGATTGTTTTCTGGGAGTTCTTGGCAACTGAAATMTGTTTTATTGAGCTGCCTAGGCATTTCTTTGCAATATCCATATTCCATTCTTTATCTTTTTACACAACTGTTTCTTTAGAAACACTGACGCAGCTCAGTTTACCGCTAGTTCCCACCATATTCCATTCTTAGTTTGTTGACTAATTGCATCCATTGTTTGAAGACGTCTAGAGAGTGAGAAGGGTCTAAATTAAGGCACTATATATCGTACACATACACCTACTTGCAGAAACGTTGTCATAGAAAATAAAACATTTGAATTTAGTAAAAAGGAATTAATTAAAACAAGACAAAAGAAAGCGTTCAGCCTCAGTGATCTTCCTTTGTTCTTTTTAATTTATTCCTTTTTACTAAATACAAATGTCCTATTTCCGATGACAACATTTCTGCAAGTATGTGTAGAAGGCTCTCATGTCCCTATTATGTTAAGAAGAACTTAAACTTAAACAGAAAAGAAATTTTTGAAGGATGCACATAAAGATTCGAACTAGTTAAATGCATTGTAGCCTGATTTTCATGCGGGCCTGGGTCCTACATGTACGCTTCACTTCACCCCCACTTCCTGAGTGAAGTGTAGGACCCAGGCCCCGTCTGAAAATCAGGCTATATGAATTGCCTAACCTGATATTTCCCTAAACCTAACCATTGAGCCATGAAATCAATTCGCTGAGTGAACCTGAATTGTTGTGATATTTATGCAATGGCATGTATGAATAACCATAAATAAGATTGAATAATTATGTAATATGAATAACCATACATAAGATTGAATATGTAATTAATGAACCTTTTACAGGAACATAGAGCCTTCTATAGGTATATTAGAGCCGTGAATAGGGATGACTCTACTCTAGAAAATTGTTACATTTAACCACTGTGATGCATTCATTACAGTATAAGGCACTTTTTGCACTTGGTGCATGAGCATTGTGCCCACATCCAGGCACTAGTGCAGCAATTGTGTTATTGCTYAAGACCAGCTAAAAATCCAGGAAATGTCCTAATACCCAAGTACAATGTCCAGACCTTTTACACAGACACCAGGACTGATACAGAGTGCCTATGTGAATACATCTGAACATGAAAATATAGTACAAGAGCACATCCAGGGGTGTTGTCCATTGTCACACTAGACAACTCCCCTCCTAGTGCCCCAGTGGTACAACTTGATTATAAATTCCAACACTTTATTTCAAATTTCACAAAAACACTCCAGAGGTGGATTTACATAATAGTTATTGACTGAAATACCACGAAACAATTCAGTTCAGTTTGATACCAGTGAAAATTCAATGCTCTTTTTAATCATGTTAAATAATATGCRAAAAAATGCTGCAGCTGTCATTGCTTGTCAAATAATTCTCTCTCCATRCGTTCTTTCTTCACTTGTTCAATGACAATATCAAGGTATGTCACATCCTAARAAAAAAATCAAACATTGAAAATRTMAGGTTTGGAACAATCAATTYATTCTCTKTAATCTGACATTTAGTAAATTGGAAAGTTTCTGAGAATTGAATAACATTTGAGAAATTTTGTCCCACAGTTTCCTGCTTGTTTTATTGTTGGCAAATATGACGATAAGTATCAAAATACATACCTCACTTGGTTTTGTCCAGAGCTCTTGAGGAAGTAATCTTTGTTTCATAGTTGCATCAATAGCTCTCTTGACCCTAAAGTTCCTCATGTTCAATTCATCATCTGGTATTCTCTTAAGAGCTTCCACAACATCAGGATCGTCATCTGATAAAAGATCTTCTCTCCGCAGACCTGAAGATTGATCTCTTGTCAATCAACATTGCCATTTAATATTTCACGGTATAAACTATCMATAATTCACTATTAACTAATAATTATTAATTGATAATTTTAATTATTATTTTATTTTAATTTAAAAATTGTTAACAAATTAATAAAATAGTTAAT